TAGGGCAGAAAAGAAATGAGAATAGGCTGCGTGCATCTCTTCATATTCCCCAGTGACTGTGTTTATCAAACCTTAGAAGTAAAGTTTCTTCATTCAGCTACTGTTAATGAACCTTATTTAATAGAATAATGAAATTAGGCATGGCAGGGGGAAGCACCCCCTCACAGTCCGGGGTGTGTGTGTGTGTGTGTGTGTGTGGTCTGACAGCTGTGGATAATCTCATTTGCTAAGCTTAATTAATGGCAAGCGAGTTTCATTTACTTGTAATGTGGAATGTCTTTCCTCAAGGGCAAAGGAATATGGAAACACTGTGGAAGAAGCTCTCTGTCTAATGCCTTGATATTAGCACTGATATTTGTAATGGTGGATGATTGGTTTGTTATTTGATTTGATTTCCTAATTATCACATCATTAACTTTCATGGTGTTTACATTGGCCTGCATAGTGAAGTAGCCTCCATAACACATATTTTTGTAAATTATGGACTTGCTATACTTGTTTTGTGTTCTAATAATGAACTTGGCATGAGCCTGCTTCCATGTACACAGTCCAGAAAGAGAGTGCAGAATGGACGAAGAGCATCCTGTTGGAAGGCACATTTATATCAGGCAGTTACAAGATGCATATGTGACTTATTTTTTAGCTATTTTTGGTTCAGCACATGTCAACAGGTAGGATACGTGTAGAAACAGGCCCGCGGCTCTGGACATAACTAAAGACACAGGCTAACATGTCTCTGTGGCTGACAGGCAGACAATGTATGCAGCCTACAGCTGTCTCCATAGCTGACAGCTAATATACAGGAGGCACCGTGTTTTCTATACATAGTGCTCTCATCCTCTTCTACTGACATATCCACACTCAGTATAGTCTAGCATGAGCTATAAGACATAACCGTATTGAAATATCTTGTATGATCACAGCAAGTCACTTCAGTTTACCTGAAGCTGCTTTGATTTGTTTTTGGTCTGTGTCTAAGTGGCCAGAAGTTAGAGATTCACAATCCTCTGTTGTGCTCACGCTGTTGAAATGTTGAAGACTGAATGTGGTGCATGTAAGATTTGTGCTTCAGATTTGTTCAGACTTTCTGGCTTTCTGAGAAAATGCGATTAGGCTGCTAAAGATTTTGATTGACACTGAATGGCAAATTGGATTTTCAAATCATCCTTCTTAAGATCTTGTTGATCTTTATGTTGGAGTCTATTGAGAGGACATAAGGAAAGATGCGTGCGGTGGGTCTGAGCCAACAGAAGACCCAATTCCTTACAAGAAAATCCACTCAGGTATAAAGCTGAATCAATCAGCTGCTTTTCAGCTCACAAAGGATCTACATTTTCTGAATTCAACAAAAAAGCTAAAACCTTGCTTCTGATTTTCTTTATCTTTTATCACTGAGACAATACGTCATGCCTGGAGCTTTGATCAGCTTTCTGCACTCAATGTTTGGCTCGGGTGACAGAGCAAATGGCAGCACAATCAAGTAAGTAGATGAATGCATAAACATTAGCACATGATGCACACTGTTCAGTGTGTATTATGTACTCAGGCTTTTACTGCAATAAATGTAGCACCAATATAAGTAATTCATAACCAAATGACTTTCTTGCATCAGGTGATGCCAGTTACAGTGAGGTTCTGCATACTGGTAGCTGTGATGGCTGAGTGGTTAAGGCGTTGGACTTGAAATCCAATGGGGTCTCCCCGCGCAGGTTCAAACCCTGCTCACAGCGTTCCTTTACAGAACCTGAGCAACACATTAAACATGTTACATCTCCATAAGCTGTCTGTTAAAGCTTCTACTACATTGACCTGCACTTCACTGACTGCTTCTGCTCAGACATCATCCATGAAAGTGAGCCTTAAGAAGACTTGTGTGACACCAGTTCAGGTAAGTGCACGAGTCCTTGCAACCACATTATTTTATCTTTGCAGAAACTGAATAAGACTTTTATCCTGAACACCTGTTTCACTGGTGGAAAAAGTATTCAGGTTTCTTAGAAGGAGAAATATCCTAGTGCAGAAATATTCTGTTACAACTGTAATTTATAGAGGAGTTGTCCCCCACAAACTCTCCCACAAACTGTCCACACTGGGTTTGCACCCCACCCTCTGTGACTGGCTCCTAGACTTTCTGACTGGCAGGCCCCAGACCGTCAGGATTGGCAATAGGATCTCAGCCAGCATTGTTACAAACACTGGCACCCCACAGGGATGTGTCCTCAGTCCCATCCTCTACCCCCTGTTCACCCACGACTGTGTCGCCTCCCACAAAGACAACAGCATCCTAAAGTTCGCGGACGACACCACAGTGATAGGTCGTATCACTGGCAGGGACGAAGCAGCCTACAGGAGGGAGGTGGCCAGTCTGGTGTCTTGGTGCAAGGACAATAATCTCAGCCTCAACACGGACAAGACGAAGGAGATGATAGTGGACATGAAGAAGGAGAGGAGATCTCATCAGCCACTGTTCATCCAGGGGCTTGAAGTGGAGAGGGTGAGCAGCTTCAAATACCTGGGCGTCCATATCAGTGAGGACCTCACTTAGACACTTAACAGCACACAGCTGGTCAAGAAAGCCCAATGGCAGCTTCCTGACGAGGCTGAGGAGGTTTGGCATGTCGCCTAGGATCCTTTGCAACTTCTACAGCAGCATCATTGAGAGCATCTTGACCAGCTGCATCACTGTCTGGTATGGCAGCACTACTGCTATGGACCGCAAGCGCCTGCAGAGAGTGGTAAAGACTGCGGCAGGACCTCCAGACTAAAAAACTCTTTCTTGCCCTCTGCCATCAGACTCCTAAACAGCTGAGGAGTTTATTACCGGGCAATACATGATGTACTGTCGACTTGTACTGTTCACATCTAAGTTTGCACATGCATAATTGCACACTGACTCTTGACTGCTGCACATGCTGCTCCCATGTAGCATACATTCTCTTATTATATTCTTATATATTTTTATTATATTGCTGCATTTGCTGCTTAAAGTGCCTTAGATTTTGTGTTACTTATTTATCTACTTTATATTTCATTTGTATTTTGTGGCATTCATGTGGACGGCAAAGTAAGAATTTCATTGTACAGGGAAACACGTTTCCTAACTGTGCATATGACAAATAAACACTTTGACCTTTGATATTGTTGTCCAACCAGTGACTCATTACTTTCAGAGTTACAGACAACAACTGTGAGGGTCAAATGGTTAAGACATGGCACTTCAATGGCATTTCCCCTCACAGATTCAAGCTCTGCTCATATTGATGTAGTTAAACTTTGTTCACTGATGACATGATTAAGGTG